GGGGTCCCCCCTGCCACATCAGCACCTATGGCAGCTCCAACTCCGTGTGAAGTATGCCAGAGCCTCTCCCTCCTATAGCAACACAGGTGGGATCCAGTGTGTGACGCTGAAAAAATGTAGAAAGAGTGGTCTGTTTCTGATAAAGGTAGCAAGGAACACTACTAGAATTTTAATTGCTTAATTGGGACTGGCCCCAAATATTCTACCTTCATTATCATTCACTTATTTAGTCATTAAAACTTCATTTACACGCCTCTTAAAATAACGAATTCCGTCTGTTGGCTGTGTTATTTATTCACATTTATCTGTTGTCGATTCATCTCTTTTAAGTCTCTGAAGTATCGTACCAAAACTTACTAAGTCCATTTTTATCATCTTGATACTACTCATAAATTTATAGACATGAATCAACATCTTCCCATCAGTATCATCTCTCCAGTTGAAGAAGTCTAGTCTTGTAAAAACATTCTTTATAATTCTGAACATAACATGTAAAAAATGGTGGCTAAATATCCATCAAAAGGCAGAATTACAGTGTTTTAAAAATGTTTCTGAAAGATTAGTATGAAAGAAATGTGTTGAGAATTAACTGAGCAATATTAGACATCCTATCTAAAACCTTAAGAAGTTTTTACATGAAAAACTCCTTATGCATATTAGCTTTGATGTTTTGCAAAACATAAAAATAATAATACCATAGTAGGATAGTATCTATGGCCTTAGTCACATTATTGGATCCAAAAGGTAATCTTTTTCTCTACATAAGAATATGGACAACTAATGTATCCATATTTCAAGACAACAACAACTTTAAATGTTTTAAAACATGTTTTGACAACTTGGATAATATTTAATAATGTGTATGTTTTTTAATTTTTATTCATCTTTTTTTTTTTAAGAGAGTTTTTTGCTATAAGGTGTTTGATCGCTGGAGAGACAAGAGAGAGAGAAAGTGAGAAATCACCCCCTAAGGAGCATGGCCATGCTGCAATCCATTCTCCTCCATTATCCTCTCTGGACTTTGGGCACACATGCACATGTGCCTGGTGTGTTTTAAGTCCCTGGGTTAGGGACTCCAACAGTGATCAACTACGTGAGAGTCCAGAGACGCCACCATGACATCATCTGCTTGTCCTCATCATTTTTAAAAAATCTGACCAGAAAGACAGAGGGAGAAAGTGAGAAAGCAAGCCACCAGGTCTGGGACCCAAACTGTTTTTTAGTCATGTGGAAGTTCAGTGCCCCAATCACCATGCCACCTGCCAGCCCCAACAATGTGTACTTAAAGTGAAATACAAAACTGATGTTCTATGACGAGTAGAGTGGAAAACAGGGTTGTAATCCTATTGCAGAATTTTTTTCTTCCCTTTCTTCTTTTACTTGCTAGAGAGCACAAGTGCTTGCCAGAGAGAGAGAAAAAGAGACAGAGGGAGAGGGAGAAGTCACCTCCCAACAGGGCATGGTCATGCTGCAATCCTTTCTCCTCTAGTTCTTCATCCTGCTGGGATTTGGGGCAGGTACACACATGCCCCTTGCATGTTTATTAACCTGCCTAGGCCAAGATTCAAATCATGCAGTCGGCAAAAAGGGACCTGGTTCTCTTAACCCTACACCACATAGCTAGCCCCTACTGCAGAATTTCTAAATTTCAGAAGTCAATAATATAACAGGATTAGGATTTTGCATTTTATTCCAGTGACACTTGCCAAACTATTTTGATATTTCAATGTTTTT